CGTGACTGTTCTTGAATGGCCCCGCCAGAGCCCTGACTTAAACCCAATTGAGCATCTCTGGAGAGACCTGAAAATGGCTGTCCACCAACGTTTACCATCCAACCTGACAGAACTGGAGAGGATCTGCAAGGAGGAATGGCAGAGGATCCCCAAATGCAGGTGTGAAAAACTTGTTGCATCATTCCCAAAAAGACTCATGGCTGTATTAGCTCAAAAGGGTGCTTCTACTAAACACTGAGCAAAGGGTCTGAATACTTATGACCATGTGATATTTCAGTTTTTCTTTTTTAATAAATCTGCAAAAATGTAAAAAATTCAGTGTTTTTCTGCCAATATGGGGTGCTGTGTGTACATTAATGAGGAAAAAAATGAACTTAAATGATTTTAGCATATGGCTGCAATATAACAAAGAGTGGAAAAATTTAAGGGGGTCTGAATACTTTCCGTACCCACTGTATATGGAGTGAAATAATTTGTTTTCTCAGGTGGTATGAATCACAGAAGCTGTGTGCCATACTGACCTTGTATTTATGTAGCCACATTTGCTGATGTTTGTGTTTTGTTACAGCCACAGCAGATTATAAATAATTGGATTTCTAAAATGCTTTTTCTAGAGATCAAGACCAATGTTAGAAGTCCAAAGGAGGTTCACGTGGATGATCCTGATGAGATGTTCCAGTTGGCTGATCTTCTTGAAGGAGTGTCAGTGGACTGTGCTGAACTCTTCTTAGGGACTTGCTCTTCAGGTATGAATAATATGATTGTGACATACATGGTAATGTGTAAACTACACCAGCGAAAATAAAATTGCTTACATTCTCAAATTGTGATTGCTTTGTCAAAATTGACCAGTAAAATCTACAGAAGACAAAGTTTGCCCCCCAGACAATGATGAAGATCTTGGGAAATTGCATAGCAAAGATGTGTTAAAACAGGTTGGTCATAATCATCTTTCCTTTTACCTTGTTTTTCTGTGTGACCTTTGGATTTCAGTGTTATACTTTCTTACATTTGTAACCTTTTATATTCTGTCTCTACCCAAGACACTGAAACCTAGCCACAGTCTAGATGATGTTCATCTGCTCCCAACTCCAGCATCCCTAGAGACGACACTGTTGCCTGATTCTTCCCACAGCTATACCTCTGGGCTCCCAGATGCTTCAACAAACACAAAGACCACGGTTGATAATGGTTATCACCCCGATTTGCACTGCCAAGCCAAACCATCTTTCTATGGCCATGGGTCTACCAACTGCCTCTCACTGGACATGTTAGGTGATGAACAGTTCCTGGAATACATCATTTAAATATGTCAAGTGCTGATGCCCACAAATGTGCTGCTTTCGTCTTCCATTATAGTGCATCTTAGTTCTTAAGTTGTAAACACGACTGTTTTTCTGTGTAGTGATGATGTCAGTGTCTGCTTCAAACTAAGACATTGTCAGAAAGGACAGAGCCCCTCATTCCTCTTGGCACAACTGTAGAACAAAACAGATCTAATTAATCAACAATTCAATCAGTAAATGGCATATTTATTAATGTTGTATATTGTGTACATACTACTTGCAGTATTTTATTATATCTCAACATTTCTAGTCAGTTGTCTTTTGTAAAGTTAAAAGCATTTATGTGAATAGGTTAATGTGGAGGGCATTATTCTGACAGGCACAGATATTTAAATATTTTAAGGCCATGCAGTGATGCACTGTGTTTCACATTAATGAAATGGGCCTCCACTCCCTTGCCATTAGCTTGTTTGCTAATGTAAGAACTAAATGTATTTGTTTTATTCAGGAGACTCTCCAGAAGACACTTGTTACTTTTTGTGCACCTTCCATCCCTTTGCCCCCCTTTTTTTTTTTAAATCATATTTTATAACTTGTAGTGTGCCCTTTCTTGCTTTGCCTATTAGTCTGCTACATCAGTATTGCAGCTAATGTGGAAAATTCAATTTATACAGCTGGGATTCATCTCAAGCATACCCATTCTATAATGTACTCCTGTTTTGTAACTATAACATAAAAGTGTCGTTACAGCAAAGTGTATCTGCTGTGTTTTTGTATCGTGTAACCTCCAAACAAAGAGCTTGTGTTGGCTTTCTCTGACATTATTTTTGGTTTTGGCAATAATTGGTTTGCAAATGAACTGAGGTAATGTGAGGTTACTGGAAAAGAATGTCATTAAACAACTTAATGCCAGTAATGTTTGAACAAACCTGGCAGTATTAAATCACAATAATGAACAAGTCATTTTTATCTAAAGCACTTTTTAAAGATGATAAAAATAAATTCTTAATGCCACTAAATGAAATCAAATGTTTGGTCTCTTTGTACTGTTGCATCAGTATAGTGTCAAGTTTGTTTAAATTTGTTGCCCATTTTTTTGAGTGCATTTATTAATTTTGGCAAAGCGTGAGTACCAGTCGTTCCACTTCTCGCGAGATTTTGATATTACGTTTGCGGAAGTTTACATCTCGTTTGGGAAAACGTGTTCACAGTATCCGTGAGAAGCGGGGTATTGATTGTCTGTCTGTTCTTTTGAATGTGGTAGCTTTCTGCAATGTACTGCGTTTTAGTTGACGCGTTCTTGTCCAGCGCTCTTGACTATGACCGTATGTTTAAGTCTCTGTCCTGGCCAAGTGAATCGTGGCCGGGGACGGAGCGGGTCGAAGCGCTGACAGCTTTCGTTGAAGGACTTGGACCGCATTTGGCCGGTTCGGACACAGCTCCGTTTACAGCTACGACAAAACAACGTATCCGAGATAAAATTGATTCGGTTATTTTCATGCAGTGTCTGCCTCTGCTCTCCAGAATATCTGCAGAAGCCGGTGAAGGCGTGCGGTGCAGGGAGAGCAGAGCCGCTGCCTGCAGACTTCTGAGCGTCTGTGTCCAGCTGTGTGACGAGGCTGTACCGGGACGAGTGGCTCTCTCCCTCCTGCCGTCGCTCAATTTTTCAGAGGACGAACGACCTGATCCGGGACGACTCACCGTGGAGGTTGCAAGTGAAGCCATGGCTGTTCTCATACCTCCTCTGTCGGTTAATTATCATCTCACACTCACCATCCTGTCATCTGCTTTGTCCTGTATAAAAACACTCCCAGATGCACTGGTTTCCAAAGTCACAGTCAGGCTTCTCTTGACTCTCCTTAACTGTTGCAGCGATGCGAGGTTAAAAAGTATCCTCACGTTAATCCTGGATGATCTGTGCAGCTGGCACTCCACTGACCGTACACCTTTGGTTACACAGCGGACATTAATGTGTTTGACTGCCCTGTCAGACCACCTGCTGAAAGCCCACAGCATGGCCTCCGGTGCCCCCGACCCTCGTTTATCCCTCCAGTTCTGGAGGATGGTTCAGGATGGATTGACGCACAGAGACGGTGTGTCACGTAAGAGGGCGCTGTACCTGCTGAAAAGGTGTGTGGCCCTGTCAGAGGAAGAAGGACTGGACTGTCTACTTTCTCCATCAGGGGAAGGTAAATGCTCAGATTTACTGACACTCTGCCAGTGTAACTTCACTGGTGTCCTTTGGTTTGTTTCTCATCTCAGTGCACCGTTTTGACACCATTGATTACAACATCTTATTACAGAGACTAGAGCGTGTTATTAGGATTAACAAATCTTCTTGTTGCAGATGAGATGTTGTTCAAATGGGCCCCCAACAGGAGCAAGTTGCTTAGAGAGTTCTGGGAGGATTATGCACTGGTGATGGAGACCCTGGAGGAAAACCAGGTAGATGATTGTCTCAGTTAATTAAGCAGAGAGCATTATTGCACAGCTTTGTAATATAACTTCAGTTTTTTTTTCTTCCTCTGTAGATTCACGTCGTCAGACCAGTTCTAAACAGAATAGACACCTTGATCCAGACAACAGTGAATGATAGTCAAGGTAACGCAAGAATTGGACTGAATGAATGTGTGAAAATTTGTTTTGCCTCCAATCCAAAACAGCTGTTTTCAACTCAAATTTTTATTCACTTGAAAATCCAATAAAGATACAAAAGGAACTCGATATGTAAAATGTTATATGAAGGGCCTGCCTAGTCATTTAGTAATCAGGATAATCACCTTTATTTGGCCAAGTATGTTACACACAAGGAATTTGTTTTCAGTACAGAACCGGGGCAGCCATCTGGCTCTAACCATCGGGGGCAACTTGGGGTTTCAGTGTTTTGCCCAAGGACACTTCAACATGTGGACTGCAGGCACCAAGATTCAAACCTCGGGTTGGGAGATGACTGGTCTACCCACTGAACCACAGTCACCCCCAGTCATTTGTGCCTGTTCTCTTTCTCAGTTCTCTGTCTATGTTGCAGCTTCAGGTCAAGGCCTGTTCCACCCCTCCTGGCTGCTGTGTGTGTACCAGCGGATGTTCCACAGTGAGAATAAATCCTTAATGAGAGAGGGAGTGTGTCATCTGCTCGAGCTGCAGGTCCTCCAGCTGCCAGCCTTTGCTTTGGCCTTTTCTCAGGTATAGGCTTTGACCAAATTAGGCTCATTCATTCAATTTCAGTGAAATCATTTGAAGTTAAGTTGCTAGTCAACGTACATCACAGTTTCCTGTTCTTCTGGTTTGCTCCTCAGTTTATCACTGGCCCTTTTATGGATGCTTTATCTGAAACATCACTCTTCCACAGGTGAGGACTAGGAATCAGTACAGCATGCTAACAACTAAAACACTGCAGGATTTACTTTAAGTGTTTTTCACACCAAGACCACGTTAACCCATCTTCTGTCCACATGTAGGTCAGTTGGGCAGAGTGTAGGAGACTGTCCTGAGCTGGGGGCTAAACTACAAGTCTTCATGGCCACCTTCTTCAGTAGCCTATCACCAGAGCATCGAGGTACAGGACAACAGAAGCCACAGGGAACACATGTTAACAAAGCTCACTTCTCATGGCCTGTCTGTCTCTGATTGCTGTGTTTGCTTCGAAGGTTGTGTGCTGCTGCAGCTGATTCAGCAGCTGAGCTCTAAGCACTGGTGTGCGGTACCCCTCCTATTTCTTTCCCAGGCGCTATCCAAACTCCCACTTAGTCCGCTGCTGGGGATCGAGGGGCTCACTGCTGTAAGGTACATCACGATGTTTACAGTTGGACTGTGTTGGAGCTTGTTGTTCTTCATACAGAAGGTCCTTTTGTCTGTGATGTTTTACAGGGAGTTAATGCGCTGCACCATGATCACTCATCAAGTCCTGCTGAGAGGCTGCTGAATACCGTCCTCTGCCTGACAGATGTGGTATGGCACAAATATGGTGTTTAGTGGTAGTGGTAAAAGGCACAGTACAATAAAACAAATCGTGAACTCACTGTTGATCTGTTGGACTGCATTCTAGGGTGTTTCTGTAATTTGGACAACCCCTGAACTTAAATACATGGTTTAAAAATTAGGGAGTTGTAATATTGAATTATCTTTTACTCAGATTGCAGTGACCCTGGATGATGTTTTTTGTTTCCTGATGCATTTCCGTGCAGACGAGTCACTGTGTAGAGGAACACAGATTTGGATCCAGGTACAGTGTATCAGCCACATTTACTATGAAGGGATACTTAATGTAATGCACATTAGAAGTTGTATGTTTGATTCATTGCTACCCTACATGTTTGTGACACCGCTGCAGCTGTGTGCCTGGCTGTCAGACAGCGAAGGCAGTTTCAAGCCCAGGATCATGGATGGTGATGCAGCAAATAAAGAAACTGTAAGAAGTTATGTTCAAAGCGAGATACAAACCTATCTCAGAGTCCCAGCTTGCACAGGTAGGTTGGAACTAATGTGATCATAAAATGAATAATTCTGTCCACAGATATGATTATTCCTGTAATAAGATGATACTTTTTACAGCTAGTTTTCTTGCTCCCCAGGTCGGTCGGAGGCATTGCCCGACCCTAGAGAGGCTGATAAGTTGGCCATGGCTGTCCTGCTGTGTGTGGACATGGAGAAAAGTCACCCTGGCACAGAAATTGGTAACACTCTGGAGTCATTACTGTCTTCTCTGCTGGACACCCTGAGCAGAGTCAGCACCAGTGTCTACTTGCCTGTGCGTAAAAGTGACAAGAGCCTGCAGCTCATGCTCCGGCTGCTCCAGTATGGAGGAACACCAGGTTGTCAGCGTGTTGGACAGGAGAGAGGTTTGTAATGATAAAACTGATTCATTGTTTGTTGGTTTGCACAGTTCCAATGAAGATAAAGTACAGAAAGTGAGATAAAATGATGAGAAGTTAATACACACGATAATAGTCATACAGTCACAAAGAGGTGTGCAGGCAGAGCCAAAAAGCTGCAAGTCTTATCACATGGTGTCCCCAGAAGACGATCAAATGTAATTTCAGTTTCTAAGACTCCTATTAGAAAGTCTGAATTGGATATTTGAAGTTTTTGAACATGTGGGCCAAAGCAGATGACTGTTCTGGTTTCATAGTTGTGAATTGTGCTACTGAAATCATTATCAGAGACAGAAGGCAGAGTGTTATTGGAGTAATACTAAATAAACTGAATGACCAGAAGATAGTTAATTTAGAAAACACTGGCATCGGCAGACCTGTATCCTACACAACAATGTTCCTATACATCTTTTTCTCTTGTTGATTAAAATCTTTATTACCTAAGCTATTGCAGCAGTTTGCGTAACCTGCATAAGGGTGAAAAATTAATATAATAGTGAAATTGCTTTGTAAACAATCCCTTACTCTTTTTTGCTATTTTATATTAAATTATTTAACAAGTGATTTCTGATCCAGTCTAGAATTACTCCAAGAAGTAATGTAAAAGGTGAATTTTTTTAAATGTACCTGCAATAGGGACTGGATCAGTTACAGCTGTCAAGTCCACCCTACAGAATATGCACTAGGTTCCATGTATGGATCAGTGCATTCATTCAGTGGCCATACTCAGAAACAACACTTTGGCAGCTAAAGGATTGTGTCTTTGACTGAGATCTACTGTAAATACTTAGGGAGTTCCCTGTAATATTAATCCTTCTATGCATAGATTTAATAAGTCATGCACTGGATTTTCTCTCTATTCCTTATTTAGTCCCAACACAGCAATTCGAAGTTTGCATCATTTGGTCCAGGTTTTGGTCAAACCTCAGCTTCCAGAAATTATGATCATCAAATGTTTCATTATAATTCTGAGACCATATCTCAGCCCCCAAACATAAGTCAGAGTTTAACCATTAATTCTAACTTTCTCAGGGAGCATTAGGCACTTATATATATATGTATATGCATATCGAAAAGAAATAACACTTTTCTCCCCTTTTCTCTTTAGTACTGTGGTCATAATGCTCCCTGTCATGGTTCATAATATATTGAATGGCTCAGGAGAATATGACATTCAGGAGAATATGACTTCTCCCTTTGCTTTTCACAGGAGACTGTGTGAGTGTTGCCATGGAGAGGCTAATGTTTAAATGTGTAGATCCAATCCAGCAGTTTATCTTGAGGCGGCTGTGTGGGGAGCTACAGGAGGTAAAGGGCAAGCCAAGCATGTCAACATCTAATTAGCATAGATGCCCCGTGTCGCTGGCTCAGATGTGTGCATGTGCTTGTTATACAGCTGTTTGACGTGGAGCGAGCAGAGCTGTATTTGAGTGTCCTGAGGCAGCTGGTTGTCATGTACAGTTCTACACCACTGTACCGTAATAAGATTCAGCATTATTATTTCCCGAAACTCATCAAGCACAGCCTCAAGATCCTGCAAGAATCAAGCGAGCAGGTACAAAGCTAAAGATTCAAACTCTGGTGATCAGGCAGGAATTTCACAAACCATTTTGCTTGATTTATTAAATTTTTTTTTAACACATTGTTTTTCCATTGCCAGATTTCCTCTGTGGCACGCCAGGTGACCAGAGCGGTTGCTATGGCATCCCTGGCCACGATCAGTGGTCTTGTGGGGGAGGAAGTGATTGACATGCAATCAGAGACTATTTCTGTTCTGAAAGCACTGAATGACTACTTCTACAGTTCACTGTCATCTTCCTCACCAAGTCAGCCATCTCTGGGAAACATTAATGAACGCCTGCTGAAACCACAGACAGTAGACCGTTCTAGGTTAGTGTAGGCCTTTTGTTACAGTTGTTACAGTATGATAGCTGAAAAATGTATTAATTTACCTGGAAAAATACTCAGATGAAAATATACTGTCTCTATGTGTTGGGTTGGCATAATTAGGGCTAAGTATTTTTCTTCTTTTGGTAGTGATCTAGGAGTGCAGGGTGTACTGCTGCAGGACTGGGGACGTATCGCTGCTAACTTTATGCGAGACCAGTGGATTTGTCTGAGCTTTCTGATTAAGGCTGCTGGAATTGCTGAGATTTCCAGAGCACCAGAGACTCTCAGGGCTGCTCTGAGCTGCAGTGTGGAGGCCCTGGCACTGCTGCCCAGTGACCTGGTGCTGCCCGTTTTCAGCTTTATGGAGACGGTGTTGCCACAAGTGAGTCTCACTCAGTCTTGGTACAGTTTAATCAGATCAGATGAGGGGTTTGGGTATAACTAGGATTTCCCCTGTGATTCTAATTTCAAGAATTTCTTACAAAAACTAAGATAATATCCATGTTTCTCATGTCTGGTTTGGTGATGTTGTGATCTCAGTTACTACTCGGTGAGGAGGCACTCTGTGTGGAGGCTGTGACTCTGAGCTGGGAGCTGGTGCAGGGACTGACCACTAATGCCAATGACTTCTGGCCGGTCCTGAAAGGCTTCATCTCCATGGCCTTCCACCATGAACTGCTTGTGCTGGCACACACTCAGGCTCTGACACTTACAGCCACATTGAAACAGGTGATTAAGTTCATGCCAGTTGACTTGAAAAGGAAGGAAGGCACTTTCAACACATCTTCTATAATATGTATACATATATATATATATATAAGAAGGGTGTGTGTGTGTGTGTTTTAGATTGCTACTGAGCTGATGGAGCTGTCTCAGTCAAAAAGTGGAGTATTTGGTGTGCTGCTTGAGCACTGCTGCCAGACATGGCTGCCCACAGACCGAGGCAGCGGTGACCAGAACGACACCCTGTTTTCTAGTGTTTTCAGCCACATCAACCTCCTCACTGAGGCTTGTGTCTACGGACCAGTGTTCAGAAGAGACCAGCAGTAACTCTTAACTGTTTATCACATTTGTTCACTTGTTTCTCAGGGCTGTTCTAACTGTTTTGTCTTTGACAGGCTCATCCAGGATGTCCAAACCTACGTGGAGCAACTCGGTGACGAGTGTGCCGCCAATGTCATAGTTGCAAGGTGAGGTGTGGTTCTTTTTAATGTTCATTTGTGAGAACTCTCTTCTTCCTGACTGCCACTAGAGGTCTCTCTGGCTTTGCAGATGTTTTTCAGTTAAACTACTGCTTTGATTTTCCAGTGATAACAGGGATGATCAGTTCCCCCGCACATGCGTGCTGGCTTTCCTCAGCCGCCTGGATCCTACCAATCTGCAGCATGAAAGACTGATGGAAGAGCTAGTTATGGCTTTGTTGAAAAAGGTAAGCAATAGATTAGTTTGGGTTGGTTTATACAGTTGAAACGAGTGTTGGAAGGTGAATAAGAACTGTTTTTGTAATACAGGCATATAAGTATGCAAAATCACAAAATGATAATGTTTATGTTCAACTCCTCACACATACACACAACAAAACCTCAAAAAATAAAATAATTTTTCATTATTTTCAGTTTGCTTCCTTAAATAATCAAATTGAACCTGATTTTGTGAAACAAAATCCCAATGTGATCATAATGTTATGGCACAGTTCCACTACAAGCTTTAAGGATTCCTGTATGCATGCCAACATGTCGATCATGACATTTCACCGTCTAAAAATCACCTTAATCCATCCTCTAATATTCCGATCCTCAAAGACATGCCGGGTTGTGATTTGAAAGCAATATGTAATTTGTTCGTACTTTGGCAACTAATACTTGTTTTGCTGTTTAATATCCTCACTTGCACTTGGCACATGGGGCATCAGTTGCAGCTTATTTAACAGCACTTAACACCATCTTCCATTACGTCCCATCCATCTAGGATAGTGACATATCAAAGTCAAAAATACGTTACTATGGGAACTCCCTTCAACATCGTGTCAAAAACAGAGTGTGGCAAACGCTGCTGCTGCTGCTGCCCAAGCTCAGAGAGGTAAGACACTTACAGCCATAGCCACATAGAAAATAGTTGCTCATAAAGTAACTGTCTGTGTGTGTGTGTGTGTGTGTGTGTGTGTGTGTAGGAGTTTGTCAGCACCATGGTTTGCCATGTTTTTGAAGCTGGATTCTGCAGTAACCAGGCCTCAGTCAAGTACCTGATCGAGTGGATGATGATTCTGATTCTCATTCACTCTCCACAACACGTGGACAGCTTCTGGGCCTGTTTCAGCATGGTGAGCTCCAGTGCCAGTCACTCCTCTACCAGAAAGTCCTATGTTATCAGTGACATAGTAAAATTATTGACCAGTTGCTGTGCTTTCTGTATAGGATCATGAAAAGACCAAGACAAGCATCTGCACCTTTCTGTCAGTCCTGGTACATTTTAGTGTCATCATTCCTCATCTTAAGGAGAAGGTAAGAGGCCTTTGAGGTGTTTTTTTTTTTTTGTTTTTTGTCTCTGCTCAACACATTTCTTCTTGCAACACCTCACTATCTACAACATCTTTCTCCCTGTGTTTAAGGCAGCACAGTTGCATAAAGCGCTGGATATCATTCTGCAGTGGTGTTTTAACCATAACTTCAGTGTGCGCCTTTATGCCTTACTGGCCCTGAAAAAGGTGTGGAGCTTGGCAGAAGCCCAGGTGGAGAAAGGGGTCGATGGTTTGGGGGGATTGTCCACTGTGATCAAGTCCTGTTTGAATCAGGCTGAGGCCATGCAAAGCACCGGGTGAGCACATGACACATGTAACAGTTGAAAAAAATAAAAGCTTCTGATAGTATGCAGTTGTATTTATTTTCTGTGTCACCATCTAGAAATGCCAACAAAAACTGGATAAGGATTCAGGAGCACTTCTTCTTTGGTGCCTTTCATCCTATCAGGGATTACAGTGTTGAGGTGTGTTCTTGCTCAACAATGGAAGTCCGTTAACTAACTAGAGCTTCTGATTTCTGAGATAACACAGTACTTGTTTTCTTTGTTTTGCTCTTCTAGACCATATTTTATACTTTTCCCACTCTGTCAGAGTTGGCTGATGATGAGTGGATTCTACCCTGGAAGTTTGAGAAACTTTCTTGTTTCTCTGCAACTCCATCTTTTCCTTTGAGAAATCCTGCTCCTGACCTAAGCCAGCTCCAGCCTGGAGACTGGATCCAGCAAGACAAAAGTACACTAGCACCATTCACAAGCAGTGCAACTACGTGATACGACATAGAATGATTTTACCTCATCTCTTACCGAGTTGTCATGGTGTTCTGTCTCCCAGGTGAGCTGGATAAGGAGGAGCGCTGGGCTGAGGTGCAGAAGAAGATCACTCCCTGGAGGTTGGGGATTCAGGATCAGGAGCCTGAACTCCAGCTGGTCCCACCACAGAGGGCTGCTCGACTGGGCAAACTGCACAGCGCTCTGCTGGTGGTAGCCTCACTCATTGACAAACCCACCAATTTAGGAGGTCAGGAGTAGCATGACAAATGTGATTTCATGTTTTTAATCATACTTCTTATTCAGGGAGTAATGTGAAAAAAACAGTGACTCACTCTTTGCTTTCTATAATATTGAGAAGAACTGACATCACTGGCTTTTGTTTGGTTTCACAGTGATGATCTGGGCAAAGAGGTCAAACACAGCTGCCAGTGAAACCTATTAGTTAAACCCTCTTATCAGTTTTATGTTTTCTGCCAGTGCACTCCAGTGCTGTTATCTCAGATGATAAGGAGCCCAATCAATCAGAATTTGTTTATTGAAGAAAAGACCCATTTTCAAAACCAATATTGATACTAGGTGATGTAAGCAAGAGCATTAGCTTGGGCATTCTGTAAATGTTTTACTTGAAATCGTCCGCTCGGTTACCATTACAGGTGTAGCTTTTTATATCTGTGCCCAGACATTTTCTACAGCATCATCACTACCACACTTGAGCCAGTACTAAAACAATCATCTTAACCCCTGACAACCCTTAAAATAACTTAATGAAAAACTAGCTATGGGAGGATTTGGTGAGTTCATGGGAGTTTGCATTTAGACACATTCACATTTTAGGCTTTGTCTGATTTGTTGTTCTAGGCTTGTGCAGGACATGTGAGATATTTGGGGCCAGTGCTCTGGTTCTGGATAGCCTCCGCCACGTCACCGACAAACACTTCCAGTCTCTGAGCGTCTCATCTGAGCTGTGGCTTCCTCTGTTAGAGGTAAATTGCATAAAACAATCTCACATTTAACTCCAGTGCTCTTGATGTCTACTCTGTCTTTATACTGGCTTTTCCCCAGTAGGATCCTGACCTGAGAAATGTGTGACCTGACTTGGTTAGCTTAGTGTTCCTACATGGTGTGAGGGCTTCAAAGAATGTACACGGGCTGGGTTGTGCTTTCTGGCCACTCTTTTAAATGTATATTTACTCTTTTGTCTCACTTTGTTTGAATTATTGTTGGGAATGTAAATGTGTATACATAATCTCTGTCATCAACTGTATGACCAGGTGAAGCCTGTGGAGCTCGCTGACTTCCTGCAGGTAAAGAAGAGTGAAGGCTACTGTATTGTTGGGGTGGAGCAGACAGCCAACAGTCAGAGCCTCCAGGACTACCAGTTCCCTGAGAAGACCCTCTTACTTCTGGGGTAGGACAGGATTACTGTCGTACAGTTAGAAAAACCACAAACAGGCTTCAAGGCTTGTTTTTCTACCACCTACACAAAACCAGTTGTGAATGAATGTGTACAAGCGTCTATCTTCCCATGCTCTAGTGACTCTCACATACATAAAGGTGTGAGCTGACGAGGCTTTTTAATCTTATCTCATCAGTTTAGTGTGTTTCCCTGTGGGACCTGTGCCTCTCTGCTCTATCGTGTACCTGTCGGGGCATGCTGAGCTGTAATTGGCTCTCCCTGAGGACCAAAGCACACAAACTAAATTACACAAACCAACACAACCAGCATGTTAAGTGCAGTAGAAAAACCCGTCAAAGTGTAATTCATGATGCTGTCCTGTGGCTTGCATAAGTGGGGGAAAACTTTTTATTCAGCCATATTTATCTACTCAGAAATAAGCATAACTGTAGTTATGACCTTGTGCATTTCCAGACACTTGCATGATTCACTCCTCTCTAAATGTGCACTGCAGTCCTGCAGCTGGCCTGGCAGAGAGGGAGAGATGAATATTTATCACGTCTGTGTAGGTGTTCTGTTTTGTTTCCCCCTGTTCGGTCACAAAGGTGAGAGCAGTGCCGTTTGCTTAAATAGCCCGTGTGTGAGCTGAAGCTTGAGTGCTCCCACAGCTGTGCACTCCCAGCACAGCACGGCCCAGGTCTAATCTCTCATCAGGTCGCTATTATCTCACCCAGTTGCACTGAGGATAAATGTGGCTCATCAAATCACACATACTTACTGTGTAGACTCATTGAATTGCCAAACTCGTTACCTCTTTGCATTTGCTTTGCTTGGCACATACTGCTGGAGCTCAGCATATATTCAGTTGACTGCAGTTTTACTTGCTCTTGGACTTGGACTTGTATCATTTGTATAAAAAGCTTCATAATTATAAGGACTTAAAAGAAAGGACGAACTTGACAGCTCATGGTAAGGGCTCTCAAATTACATCAGCTGGACAGCATGATGAAGCCAAATGAAATCTGGAATTAAAACCAGCCAGTGACCAAAAATATTGTACTGTGTATAATACACATTGTACAATGCAGAGTGAGCAACCCTCTGTAGGTGTTTTTAGAGAAGCTGTTTTGGTCCTGTGTTGATTTGAGGAGTCAGGATTTGGGATAAACACAGATTCCTTTCCATAGAATGCATAATGGTCAAATTTAAAGGAATAGTTCAGAATTTTTTCTTTTGTTTTATTTGTACTTTGCTTGCAGAGCATTAGGTGAAGATTGATTCTGCTCTTACAGTATGTCTGTATTCACAATATGAATCGGGAACAAGCAGCTGATTATCTTATCTTCACCTAATGACTGGAAATGGTGAAACAGGTTGCCTGGCTGCGTCTGAATGTAACCGAGTTGGTTTAGCAGTATGCCAGGAGCTTAACAGAGGGGCTGGTAGGTGGATTTCGGTGCCCCCAGTTAGCAGATTTCCCATGTTTTTAGCCTTTATGCACAGCTAAGCTAACCAACACCTGACTGTGGCTTCATAGTTCTCGTTTAGAGAGTGGTATTCATTAAGTTTTACTGTGACTTTGCTTCACTTTACAGTTGGCTTCCTTCCCTCTCTCCCTTCTTATAGCAATGAACGGGAAGGTATTTCTGCCAACTTACTCCAGATGTTGGATGTGTGTGTGGAGATCCCTCAACAAGGGGTCATCCGCTCCCTCAACGTGCACGTGAGTGCCGCCCTGCTGATTTGGGAGTATACAAGGCAACATCTCACCCCTGGCTCAACTGAAGTTGGCTCAACGGGCAGCTGAAGAAGAAAGCAGCAGTGCAGCCCTATGGACATGACATCTGACCTCCTGATATTGACCTTACTTGCTCACCTCTGGTAGCAACTGTGAAAGTAATCTTAGGGACTTGAAATGAAAATGTCAGCTTAATCTTACTGTAGATGAAGATGCAGCAGTCAGTCAGTGGCCAGACCGTCTAGATTTTTATGAGCCGTCTAGATCAGACTCTATGCTGTCGGGCTTTTATGTGGTCAGCAGTCATCAGTGCTGTTCTGGTGTTTTAATGAGAGTCATGAATGGAAATCAGTTCTGATTATTACATTTAAATATTCCACTGGGCATGCTGTTAATGGAGGCAATCTCAGTGCTGGCCATAGGTGCATCTTAAATAAACATTTTCTGCTTTCAACAGGAGGTATTTTATGCGAGCAATTAGCTTTTGCCTCAGAGCACCAGGACTGGACTGCCGTGTCCAGCCCCAGCAAACTATCTACAGAAATAATGGTTATTTTTTTTTTTTTTTTTAAATAGGCATAATTCTCTGTGTTCCCAATGTTTTATTGCAGTTTGTGATTTTAAATCAAACTGCCAATTTTGATACAATTTTATAAATAAAACCATGACATTTTTATCTATGTAACATATTTATTTGTGGGTAGAGACTGCATCAACAAAGGGAGCAGTGAAAGAGTTAAACAGGGTTCAGCTGGTGCTCGTGCGTCCTCCTCCCGCCCCTTAGAAAGGAGATGGTTCACCTGGAGACCAGACAACCAGACTGGGAGCAGATTGAGCATGTTTGATCGCCAATTTCTTTCTCCAGCAAGTCACGGCTGTACGCATTTCAAAATGTGTGGATAGCAGATAGCGGGACATGGACGACCCGGACGGCCCCTCTTCCAACCTGTGGTTGTCTCTACAGGCAGCAGTAGCATCCAACTTGACCCGAACAGGGGGAGCAGGACCCGTGGTGCATAGGCGGACCCAGCTGGTCTTGGAGATCCTCATGGTGCTGATGTGTTTGGGCGCTGTGACAGGTACCGAATTACTCATTTGTTATACAGGCATAAAAAACACTGAAATAAGTTTTGTACTGGGTTGAAAATCTAAGAGTGAGGATTATAATTTTAACTAATGGGGACAGTATTTCTGGAAAGACAGCTGCTGATTTTTTTTTTTTTTTTGATTTTTCAATGTTGTGAGCACAAGCAACAAAATTCAATATAGTTCTCGTAGTTTGATGGCGGAAGAAATCAGATTTCAAACTGAGAACAAACAAATCCACAGTTATCTGCATTGTAGCTTGTATAAACTGCCCCTTTGCATGTGGTTTGATTTTATTTAGACAAACTGTCCTTGCATCACTGCTAATAAATTATCGTGGGCTCAGCATTTTGCAGTGCAGGTAGTATAATACCAGCCTGTCAGAACAGAAGCTCTTTTTATGCTGCTCCCGTGCTATTTACACTGATGAAAGAAGTACTCAGATCCCTTAGGTAAAAGTATAGCAAAACAATAGTGTAAAAATGCTACTTAAGTAAAAGAACAAAGGTATTAGCATCAAAACATACTTTGAGTACTACATTATATGCTTTTATTTTGAATCATTGCTGGTTAGCTTGTGTATTTCTCACCAGGAATCAACTGTTTAGACTGGGCACAAGTTTCTGAATTGAGTTAATATATTACAGGTTTACTATTGTAAAGATGTTCATCTCTTGGTTTTGCTCCAAATAGTCTGACCTCTGTGTCATTGTGTGTGTTGCTGTATTTCTGTGTAGGTAATATTCTTGTCATTATTATTGTGGCTGCAAACAAGACTTTCCACACTGTGACGTCAGTGCTGATCATGAACCTGGCGATCAGCGACCTCCTCGTGGGTGTCGGTGTCATGCCTTTTGTTGCTTTGTCCGTCATAAACCACAGATGGGTGGATTGTAATGTAAGTCACCTCTGTCCAGTACTATTGTGCTTTACATTCATGTTGTATCACAGCATCTGTGTCTGACATGACCTAAATCTAAGTGTCTATGATAATGTTCTGCCTCTCTGTTTGACAGGACCTTTGTTTGTATGTGGGTTACACCTCCTCTGTGTATTGCACAGCTTCTGTACTGACGTTAGCTGCTATTGCTCTTGACCGCTACTACTCCATCATGGACTGCCTGCGTTACAGCTCCCGCTGCACCCCGTGGAGGAGCTGCGCTGTGGTCCTATGGATCTGGTTGCAGGCTCTGGCAGCCAGTTGCCCTCCCCTGCTGGGCTGGAGCTCCGTCAGCTATGTGGTTCCCATGTATAGCTGTGCAGTGAACTGGGCCAGTAGTCCCAGCTACACGGCTTTCATGGCTGCTCTTTCCTACCTCATACCTGCAGTGGTCATCCTCTTCTGCTACATGAACATTGTGAAGGTGGCTCGAAGCCATGCCAGGAGGATTCATACACTGGAGGACTCTGTCCAACGCAGCAGAAATCCAAGTACTGAGTTTGCTCCTGGTGATTTATCTCAGCAGCACTGTGGCAGCCTCCACTGCCATCATGTGAGTGGACAGTTTGGGTCCGAGGTCAGTGGAGAGGGCAGGAGTTATATCAACCCTGCTGTCCCTGATTCTACTACAGAGCCAAGCTACCCTACATCCAGACGTTTGTTCTCCTTCCCGGCTCAGAGTGCCTCCCAGCCACACCTGCACAACTCCCAGCAGCACCATAACCATCATGGATTGGTGCGTCTGTTCCTGGTCATCTCAGCCTTCTTCCTCTGCTGGACACCTTACATAGGTGTGGCCCTGGTTCAGGCCACAGAAAATGCAATCTCAGGCCAATCCAGTCTCGTCCCACCCTCAGCTGTTACCTTTTCATACTGGCTGGTGCTGCTGAACTCCGACATCAATCCTCTACTGTATGCTCTGCTTAGTAAGCGTTTCCAGGGTGCTCTTCAGGGACTTAGGCAAAAAATAAGAGTACGCCTGGGGAGTGTGGTGGGCAGAGGAAGGGAAGTCAGGGTCCAGGGATACGATGGCAGGATCAGCAACCCCTGCGCTCTGACCACCGCCCATCCATGTCCGCCTTCCACCTTTGAGAATTCAGCCTGTACGGACACCAAATATTCTTCCTCCATTTTTACTGTCAGCACTGACTACAAACATCCTTCTAAAGAGCATCTATGCAAAGTGTGTCACCCTGAAAGTACCTGCCCTTCCTCCATGTGGCAAGACGCTGGTGGTGACAGCAGGGTTGACTGCCTGTAGGTTCCCTCTCGGCCACAGGAGGGCAGCAGGCTACCTTTCTCTGCAGCAAAGTAACAGTGAGAGTAGAGCATGATGTCTTAGTCCAACATCTGCATATTCTCTTGCTGCAGTTAAGTTATTTTAATCTGTGAATTTTTGGATTATTTCTGAATGAATTTATTTGTAAAATGCCAGAAGATGGTTAAAAAAAAAATTTTCCCAAAGCCCAATTTGACCAGTCTAAAACAAAAACATATTTACTGTAATATCATAGAAGAGTAGCAAATTGGAACCAAAGCTGGAATTTGATTTTGTCCCCCCCAATATTTTTACATTGGATTAATCTATTTTCATGATTAATCATTTCAGATGTATTTCACACGTTTATACGTTGAATCAAAACTTGCTTGCGACATTCATTTGGATTTGTGCACAGTGAGATTTTATAGTTGAACTACACTCACCCACCACTTTTAGGCACATCTGTGCAATTTTATGCAATTCAGTGCAACACTTCCTCATTAACAACTTAACTGTGTTTATGAAGCTCAAAACCCCAGAATATAATTTAGTCCCGTACCACACCACCTTTAAGTATGACCTCAATAATCAAACATTTAAATTATACATTTGACAATTTCATCAAAAAAAACAAAACATTTTGAGCTCCATAAAAACTGAAGTTAAAGCAGAAGTGTTGCACTGAGTGTAATACATTTGTACAGGTGTACCTAATAAAGTGGCTAGGCAGTGTACATTTTTCAGCTTGCCATGTTGCTGGTGGCCATTTACACTTACTGTTAATTGCAGAGGACACTACAAGTCAGTGAAAACAAATCTGGACAATGAATTGTACTGAAAAGAAATCACAGTACATGTGATTATACTTGAAGACAGCCAACAACAGATCTAAGAAACCCATCATTTATTCACGCTCTTAATATTTCCTTCTCAAATGTGATCATCATGTTAGATGTCAGTGTAAAAATCATCATTCCTTACAAAGGTTTACATGTATGTCTACCAATAATTCCAGAGGAATACAATATTATTATTTGTCATAGAGAATGACAATGGGAAACGGTGCTAATGTTGTCTATTGCAAAATAAAAGGCAGTGAGGTGGATGTGTCAGCTGTAACACTCAGTCTGCAACCAAATGCAAAAAATATTAAATGCCTGGTACAGCTTGTCAAGAGTTTGGTTCCCAAAAAAAAAAAAAAACCAGATGGCACGTAACAAGCACGTGTGGTCAAGTGATGTTCATACATTCACAACAAGGCAGACTTTCCACCGGTCGTTTTACAAGGCTTGTGACTCCGTTGCTCTCAACTATCTTGCCTCAAACGTTCTTTAAATAAAAAAGTTGCAGTGAGAGAGTACAGCTGGACAAGTACAGACTGTTCTCATGTCTCACCTCCCCTCACGCCACAGTGAGACAGTTCAGAAATAAAACCATTTTAGAGATGAATGCATCAGGTTTGTGTGCATATGAACGGAGAATTCAATGTGATAGAAATTCATAGGGAGGCTCAGTAATAGCTATGGTTGATGTTTAAAGTGATTAAAGGGGTAGTCCCAAGGTTTGAAGCTTGTCTGTATTGGTATGGGCTGTTAGGGACAGGGGGGGGTCACATTTAATTATATATGAATAGGAAGACATACAATTAGATGTATTTCCTGTATTGCCTAGTTAATAAAATGTTAATGCTGCTTACTGCCAGTGTCTCAACAGAAAATATGAGGCAAGTCTTTAGGATGGACTAAAAGCAAATCTCAACCTTCTTATGCAGTGAGAACTTATGCAACTTGTTTTAGAGCTGTCTTAATTAAACTGTGGGCCTGAGAATTGACAAAGTGGGATTTTAGCCCCAGCAAAGCACAAAAAGGACTTGACCTCTTCTTTCAGGCTGAAGAGACAGAGGCATTGTGAAAGCTTTTCCAGCTCAAGATTGATCCTCAGATGTCCGGACAGGACCCTTCGCACCAGATGAACCCATCGGGTTAACAGCTCCAGGACATCCAAGGTGTGAAATACAGCTATGTACAGTACACAGAAGGCAGGTATGTCATTAGGTCTACACCTGAGGGGTGCCGCTGTCGGCCTCCCTTTTGTTTTCAGGCATTCAGCATTTTTAGGCATTCTTCTTTGGATCTTAAATGTGTACACGTTTAAGCCAGTCCACAAGGCCTGTCCATAAAGTGTCTTCTCAGAACTAAAACAAAAACATCAGGCAAGTTGGCAAGTCTTCCCAGGCGCAAGGACACCTTAAACCAATGGAATGATTGGAGCTACAGAAAAACTGACTTGACTAAACCTGGTAATCTTTTGGGTAAAAAGAATCACAACTGATATGAGTACATGATCCAACTCAGATAACTTCTGAGTGGAATGGATGCCAAAGAAACTATGTGCAGTCTATGCATTTCCCTTTTTGGCTGAAGTGTTTGAAACAGGGCGGGGCACCAGGCTGGTCAAATGTCCCGACATCGACACCAAGAGGAGTCTCGCCTCACTGTGTGTTTTGCATGGTAATGTTTCAAGCAGTCAACGTGGGAATGACGACATGGAGGGTCTGGCTTTCCCTCTCCAGTTGAGTCCTGTGGCGGTGCCTGCCTCTCCGCTGACCTCTGCTGGCTCGTCACGTTTGCGCAGCTTAGTGCTGAGCTGGATGATGCACTGGTCCCAGTCCTCGGGTAACAGCAGCATGAGGAAACCCAGGCAAATGATGAACACAGCAATGAGGCGCACTGTGTTGAAATGAATTTCACATGTGTAGAGGTCCACCACTGTAAAATGAGGTGTCATTAATACGGAGGGATACTTTAACAAAAAATTATATGGTTAAAGTAATAAAAATACAAAGTATGTAAATAATTATGAGTAATACGTTTATATATGTCCCCTAAAATGGCAAATGAATCATTGAGAATCCCAATCTGACATTAAAATTTCATCCATCAAATATAGATGATGGAATTTTAAATCATTTATTAAATGGTGACCAGACCTAAAATGTTAGATGAGAGAGGAAAGCCAGAACACTTACTGGCATTTACAGGAACACTTAAGACGATGCCAAGGGAGATTAACTTTGGGTATGTTATCGCAATGCCAAAGTTCACCAAGATGTTAAAAGCTGTGGGATAAAGCACAATTTGAGCAGCAGTTGAGTGCACAATGAGGATGTCAAAGCATAAAACTGTACATATTCTTTACAAGTGGCATCATACCAAAAAGCAGGCCTGCAACCCCGCAGAAGTAGGCCCACGGGATGTCTTCAAGTGAGTCAATGTACTCCACATGTGTGAAATACAGAATGACCGGCACAAAGCTAAGGAAAACAAAGTTGGCGCTTCCAACAATGCTCAGAAAGAGTGCAGCCTCTCCAAATTTGGCACTGCCCAGGACCATCTTAAAGAGCACCTGAGGATAAAGAGGGAGGAAAGTCGTGAACGAACAAAAGCAGAGGGGGACTGCAAAATGTGCACCTGCCAAGTACCTGCCACTGCTCGGGCCCAGATGTGCTACTGTCTGTTTAGAACATTAGATAGCAAGACAGAGGAGACCAGAGCTCCATCAAAATATACAGTAGCTATCTATCCCGCAGCCTCCTTGATCAGGACATCACAGCCTGAAGCCAACAACTAAACACATGCCTGTGTCAACTGAGTCTTACATTTCATAATCTCCTCTGCTTACATAAATCCATGGGAGGTAGTCCAGGTTTTTCTACATAAGATTATTAGGTACATACATATTTGTAGCTGTTTTTACATTTTTTTTGTGATACTACAAGGGAGCTTCATGGAAGTCCACGCGCCCAGTAATAATGACCTTTACAAACAGATACCTTGTAGAGTGCTGACATCGAAGCAGAGGCCACGACCAAAGTAATGCCGATGACTGAGTGGCTGTGAAATCCATCAGCATAGGTCATCATTACAATGCCTGCTATGGCCAAGATAGCAGCTACTATCTGTAAAGAGAGAGAGGAGAAGCATCAGTGAATGACGAATGGATGACATGCTGCTTGCAGCGTGGCAATAAAGACGCCTGTGTAGGGACACAGCAGGCACACATGGTCTCCACCTTGTAACTCACTGCAGAAATCACAAGCCTCACAGGGCAAAGCTGTAATTAATAGGAGGGGGGGCTTTATAGGCAGCCAACTGGTACATTTGATAGGTACATTTTCTTACATGCAAACAAGCATAAGCAAATGAAATCAGTTCTCAGATTCACAGTGCAGATGCTTCCAACACAGCACAGGCAGCTTCTGCAGCATTGGCCTGATTGTCATGCATTGATTTCCGTTGCAATGCCATCATGTTTACAAACCAAATACCCTCACAGCCCCCCACCTCTCACATCCACTCCATCCCTCCGTGATCATCACAAGCTTCGAAATGGAAACAGCCCATGTGTTTCATCCTGATCTCAAACAACCACAAAGTGCCAAAACCAAACTCTTTTAGCTTTTAGTATGTTTAGGGCATATGTCTTTTCGTATATATTTGACCACACGTAGTCATAACTGTGCATGTAAGGGGGTTTGAAGAATGATAGGCACAGAGTGCAGTCCAACTGAGTGGATTAGCTCTGCATTAAAGAGGTGTCAGAAAGATAAATGAGCTGAGTGTTTTTTGCTTGGGCACCTTTGAAAAAACGTTTCATTCTGCACTGCAGGCTGCCGGTCAGACACAGCTACACCTTTCATTTCTAGTGAGGGGCTGTTTGTTCAGGGGGTCGACAACACTGCTTGTGTTAGTGTTTTAGTTTGAGATGTTTCAGTGCAGTGTAGGGATCAGGGGAGGGAAAGGATTGTGCCACCCCCATGCTGAGCAGCTTATATGATTACAGGGTTATTACTGCAGTTTGTGAATGTGGATTAAACTGGATCCAACTCCATTTAAACTGGTAAATCTAAACCCCAGTCACATATCAACCAATGGCTCTTCAGTTTATTTTATAGCCATCTCTTTATGGACACAATGTCACTAAAACAACCCACACCCCGGTCTCTCATTCTCTCCTTGACTTTCATGACAAACCCGCCCAAGATCCCCTGCATTGCTGCAGACATCCAAACACTGCAATCCTCACCCCCAAGCACGGAGCAGGTGAGAGTTTAAGAGAAGCAGGGTTATTACAATATATATCTTTTACTGGGGCCTTTTATTGCAGATGATAAGGGTGGGGAGTGGAGGCATTCCCAAGGGAGAAATCTATTCTGTAGCATTCAGAACAGCTGCAGATATGAGAGCATCTGCAGCATGTAGAGGGGAGAGAGCAGGAGATACTTCTATTCACAAAACAAAGCCCTTCACATATTCTTTTCTGTCTTTATTGGGACAAAACATGCAAACCTCCACCAGGAGGCACATTTGAATGACACAGTGATTATTAGTGGGAAATCACACTGGTGCGCTCTACTCGACCTTGCTGTGTGTGTTGGAGCAAGCTGAAACATATTATTTGCAGAGTCTATTTTATTTGAGAGCTATATACACTCGTTTTTTTTTCTCTTTCCATCAAATCTAAGTAAGACACGCTGAGAAACCTAAAGGCAAGTAAAGGTTACCTTGCTATTTCATGTTATACAACATACAGCAAGTCTTTGCAGAAGCACTGTAGGAACATGGTAGGGAGTCAGTATTATCAGAGGATACAGACTTTTCACAGATACAGTATAGTGCAAACAGAACCAGAAGCACAGAAATGTCACTCCACATGGGGTAACAACTTAAGCCTTAGGGGACAGGAGATCACTTACAGAAAAGGAAAGATGAATGTATTTGTGTTATGCAGAATTATATACTTCCTGTTTTCTCGAATTTTGCCTTGCTTCTTTTGAAAATTGAAAACCTTTGCCTCTTAGAGCAAATTGAATCAATCTGGGGGGGGGGGACCTATCACTGTCTGGTAGAATCACACATCTATCAGATATATCAACATGTGACAAGGTTGTTTTTTTTATTCAAATATAGATATTGATACAGCCTCAAAAATCCAATACTGGCCAGGCTCTAATTTTAACTGAATGCCGGTCCAGGAATTAGAGGATAAGCTACAATAGCCCATGGACAATAGTATTGCAAAATGCTGTTAATGAGAAATTTGTAAATTATCATTTTATGTGAAACTGTGCCAATGACATTATGCAAATTACCTTATTTTAATATTATCTTGTTAATTCCAGGTGCTACAGGTGTGACGCCGCTCTGCTTTTTGTGGCCTTTGCTTGATGGAGCAGCAACATTCCCTCTCAGGAAGTGAAAATGGTCACACACACAGCGAGACACACTCACCCTGACCCCCATGAAGCGGTCTCTGAGAACAATCCAAGACAGCAGGAAGACAAAGGCCTTGTTACAACAAAAGAGCACTGACGCATCTGTTGTGTTGATCTTCCTGAGAGCCTGCAGGTACAGGTAGTTGGTGAGGATCCACAGCAAGCCAAAGGGAGCCACCTTGATGAAAAACACCTTGGGTGTCAGCCCCTCATCCCCGAAAAACCTACAGCACTCCCTGTGCAGAAACATAATGCCAAGAAGAGTGTTAACATACTGAAATGTGTGATATAACCTAATTAAGTGCTGAAAAATATTGTGATGCTTGAAGGCTATAATCAGTATTTATGAATATAAATAACTCTGTCTGGAAAAAAAATGATACCAGAGAGATAAGAAACTAATCTGTGTTGAGTGTGTTAAGTAATTCCCACTTTAACAGTTACATCTAAATGAACATTGAACCACAGTGCATGTGCAGCCCCACGCAGTCAGATCTGCCACAAGGTATTTGAAATAAACCTTCCCGAGGTAAAACGCTCTCTGTTAATGAAACAGAACATATTTCCTGCTCAGGTGTTTTATAGGATTTGTCTTTGCCTATTTCTTTCCAGGGTAATTGTGATGTAGGAGGAAGGAGACATGTATTCTAAAAAGTATTTCTGATTTTGCAGTCTACTTCCACCGGGTCAGACCTCAGACACATCAGTTGTTTCAGACAAATACACTAAGTATGGCCAAGTACCGGGATACACGTGGGACATACACATATTTGATTTGGTTTCTGGTGAATCTGTAACAAGGTTGTGATGATTAATACCACATACAGTACAAGGAAGCATCGTCAGCTCAGTCTTACAGGATGTGCTTTGGAAGCACAACTGGATCTAGTGATCAAGCTAGTCTGGTGACATTTTGTGATCTCTAAGTAGTGATTCATCGTCAAGGGCTTTATTGCTGGCCAAGTATGAAGCAGAGTCATACTTATGGATGTCATCACTGAGTCCTGGTTTGTCAGTCATTGTCTATATTTTTGTATTTGTCTATATTGTATTTTCAGCACTCCCCATACACACACACACACACACACACACACACACACACAAAAGAAAGAATTGCCTCTGGTCATGAATAACATCTGTCAGAACTGGATTTGCTTAATTGTCTGTGCCATTAATCTCCACTGTTGTTTAAAAAATGATTAATAACATATCAGGGAAACACACTGCTGCATTTGGTGACATGTTTCCTCATTACAAAACACCAGACCCTGATTTTTTATTTATTTTTTTTTTTATGTTGCCCCAAAGGCTCAGAATGGTCATAACTTTTTATGCACAAGATCTCTGGATATGTTTAATATTTGGGTCTTGTGTTTTGTAATGAGAAAACATGTCATTGCAGTGCTGCGTTTCCCTGATGTGTTTTGAAATCATCAGTAGAGGTGTGGCAGAGATCAATAAGATAATCCAGGACTGACAGACATTAGCAGTGAGTAGAGCCAGTTCACCACTGGTTTTAGTCTCTGTATGCAGAGTGTTATAGAAAATTACCAGCCTTATCCTTTAAACAAAACTGACACTCTATAGTCAACGTACAGTAAGCGAGAAACCATAACGGGACGGCCTGTATCAGTATTAAAATACCTGATGGTAATCATCCATTCTGTTGCTATGCTTTGGAGTTTCATCCTCCGTAAGGTTTTATGTTTCATTTCCCTGCTGAGATGCCCAAAAAAAAAAAAAAAATTGATTCTAGTTCCAAGCTTCACAACTCCCTCCGTTCTCCCAAGTCAAAACAAAAACATTGCGACTCTGGCGTTTTGATTGCTACAGTTTACAGTGCTCTTGAGTTACACGGCGTACTCTGAAAGCATCTGGTGCTACAAACGATGAAGCAGCAATAACTGAGGAGTGGCAGGTAGCACACTTGCCAGAGTGTCGTGCTGGACACTGAGGAGCAGCACCGTTATGAATCAGCTCCGGGGAGCTGAGTCTGCCAGCAAAACACTCCACTGCCCCCCCCCCTTTTGTAAAACACAAATTCAGTGACAATCAAGTTGGTCATTTACCATCTAGCAGAGAACAGTTACATTTTAAAAGCACTGGATAATTCAAATCAAGGTTATTTAGATTAGTCAGTCTAATAATTGTGTTTGATGGTTTTTTTGTGAAAGCTACAGGTATGCGAATGTTTTACACGTTACTTTACTGTATAATACTCAAAGGTTTTACAAAAAGTCTTCTCATGATTTACTTTTTCCACTGTGCTTTTCCTTTCTGGATGCAGTTCACTCAGTAAATAACTTAAAAACTAAGGAAAACAACTCGTTAGTGGCCCTTTTTGTTCAAACTGCCGTTTCCAAGGTCAAAAATGAAATTTAAAGCTCAACACATGAAGTGATTTAACAAAACTAAAGAACAGCCGTTTACCTCTGGCCAATATTTTATTTAAAGAGACACCGACGCCTGTTACAACAGTCAGCTCTTGGTTTCTCTGGATTGTCGGTTGAATGAACAAAAGGAAAGCAAGTGTTTCTTATTCTGAGTACAACAGCTCCGGCCGAGCAGTGGGAGCCCCAGGACGTTGCGTAAGCCCTCAGAAAGGTAGAACTGCATCACAAGAGGTACATCAGAAACACAAAGTCAATCCCCCTGACGCACCACATCTACCACCCCATCACTCTCTTTTAACAAAAGTAGCAGAGACCTTTGTCTAAAAACCATGATTAATAGACCGTTTCAATGGTGAGAACAATTCAAACACACCTAACATATGATATCCCTGGTTAAATAAACTGTAGGCTGTCTGAGAAATCAACATATGAACAGGGAGAAACTGTGCATAACTAACCAGCAATCACGGAAGGTAAACAGCTCTAGCTCCTTCTGTGACACACCAACATTGTGAGAATGCAGCTGAGCTCCTCTCCATGCATCTATATGCCACCATGACATGTCACTAACTGCTCTCGTCTCTCCTATAGTATGTCCTCTCTCTCCCCCTGTACCTTTCTGCAGGTTGCCCTGGCTCTGGAGCTCTATGTTTCTGATGAGCAGTCACCGGCCACATCAACCTGCCCAGTGTTTGTTTGTTGTTGTGACTTGTCTGTTTTCTCTCTCTCTCCTCTATCCACTCACCCCAACCAGTCAAGGCAGAAGGCCGCCCACCAAGAGCCGGGGTCTGCTGGAGGTTCCTAGCATTAAAGGGAGTTTTTTCCCTCTCCGCTGTCACCAAGTGCTGCTCAACGGGGATTTGTTGGGTTTTTCCTCTATGATATTAATGGTAAGGTCTAGACCTTACTTTGTAAAGTGTCCTGAGACGACGTTTGCTGTGATTATACGAATAAAATTTAATTGATCCAACTGTCAGCAAATGGCAAAGCAGATTGGACATTGCGTGTGCACTCCTCATACAGACAGTGTGGTCTTAGCAGGAAATTGTCATCCCATTTTAGAAGTATATGTGTTTTTAGTATTTAGTGTTGCTTTTTGATTATACTGACTTCTAAGGATCTTATTCTCTTGTTCTAATTCATCTGATTGGCACCTGTCAACTGCATACTGATTCTAACTACTTGAACCAAACACAGGCATGAAGAGGTTAAATCACTAAATAACTGGGCAGGCAAAAGGGCAAAAATTGAAGTGTGGAAAACCATTTTGTGCATCAGTCTCCCCCCTTTATCTGTATAAAGAAAAAAAGTGAGACTATTTGTTATCAGTTGAAAAAGCAACTTTCTGCCAAATGACTTCTAATGATCACCGTGTTGGATTCTGGTCTGCTGAGGTTGCCGCTGCTGGGAAAATAGCTTTTTTTTCCCCTATGATGTGAAACTGTATGATTGCTGAAGTATGAAGTCATCTGTGAGAGAAGAAAGATAAAAATGCTCTTTGATTGTAGCCGACTTGACATTTACAGTTGGTATTTTTCTCTTATTTTAGCTTCACATCTTGGTGTGTGTTTGGCTTGTTAGCCAAGATGAAGTAAACCAAAGAAAGCAAAAATCACTGATTGCTTATTTTAAATTGTGCTCAAGTGTTTTAGGCTGGATTGGACATACTGCTTAGTACTCACTAGCAGGAGTCTCCAGTCCACAGACTGGGGGACTTGCAAGGTAAAGTGTTTGCACTTTTACTGTTATTGTTCTTTGACTCTTGAACAAACTTCCACAAGGTCTTAAAGAAACTAAATGAAAACCCATTCCTGTCATTTAGCCATCTTTGTAGGTTAAACTCATTTCTTTGCTGTTTATTCTCTCTTTCCTTTTAAAGCAATTCTTTCGTTTTTAAAAACTGCTGTATAAATAATTTACTTACTTGCTTGCATTGTTCTGATGCATTCTCACCTGAATCTCTGTCTGGGCGTCTGCCTCTCTGGACTCTTGCACAGGTGGCCGATGTAATATACGGGGAAGAAGAGGCAGTTCCAGGTGGTGGCGAACCACGTGAGGGTGAAGGGGGCATCAAACTGCTTAAAGGTCAGCTTGGCCAGCTGGGTAGAGCCTGCCCAGGACGAGCACACGCACATCACCATGGCGATTCCCCACAGGGCTTTCTGTACCTGTACAGTTGTGACCCTGATGCAGCAGTGGAGCCTCTGTCTGTTGGAGCCCAACTCTGCTCCTGTTGCACCGCAAGACGACTGTGTGTCTGTGGTGCCCACCACATTCTCCCTGGTGCGTTCTTCTCCTGCAGAAGGATACAGACATGTTGCATGTGAATACTGCAAGTTTGTTCTCACTTTTATTTGAGCTACCATGTTAAACTAACTACACATCTACAGTACGTGTTCTGCCTTTCAATTTTGTTTAGAACATACATTTTAGATTTATACATGTAAATTGCTTTAGCTTTTACATATAGGGGCCTCTTATCTGCGTGAGTGATTTCAGGCCATCCATGCCTTTCCATCTTTTTTCCCCAAATAAAAATAGCTACTTGCACAGTTGAATCGAACTTGAAGGTAATCAATCGGACATCTGAGTTTAAAATGTGGTGATCAAGTGTGACAGGCCAACAGAGGACAAATCTGATATCCAATCCAAGACACCCTCTTCTCCACCATCAGTTTGACCCCATGAGGTCCACTTGTGTGTGAGCACACAATGACACACACACAATGACACACACACACTGAAGTTTCTGTTGCTCCTGTCAAACCCTGATAACCTCCATACATAATGTGCACAAGTGTTTTCTGTCCCACTCACACCCGCTCGGTGTTTCAAAACTGTTCCCTTGAGTCATTTCACTTATTTATGATAAATTGTTTTTGTCTCAAACTCAACATTCAAGATGATCGTTCAACTGTTCAGGTCCTCTACATGGAAACATTCTGCAGATAATACATTATTCATGCAGCAGGCATTCACTCGGGCAGGTCATCCTGTTGGCCTCATCTCTGAGTGACACTGTGTACTGACAATACATTAACGTATCTCGGTTAAGACAGGTCAGGTAGAGGTGTGGATGATGCAACAGGGACATTTCTAAGCGTGGTTTTGAAATATCTTGAAGGGGCCAAGTCCCTTGTTCATCTACTTTTTACTGACTTCTCCTCTGCTTTTAACTGCATCCATCCAGGCAGGCTGAGCAGCACTCATAACATTGATGCTGGTTTATGGAGTTTTTAAACAGATGGGTCACAAAGGGTGAGGGTGAATGGTGTATTATATGATGTCAAAAAAATGTAGAAAAAAAATTAACATCTAAAACTTAGGTAGAAAACATTTCACCTCTCACCAAGACGCTTCATCAGTTCTGTCCGACTGGTGGTGAGCAGGAGGTATTTCTGGTGTTTCAGTCCTTTAGTGGTCAACAATGTGCCCTAACTACTGAGTTGTTATAGTCCGGTATCACAGATGCCACATCATCAAATTTGCAGATGATACTGTTATTGTGTTTCTTCTTAGCAGTGATGACTTTGAGCATGTTCCTGTTATAATTGATTCTATTGATTAGTACAAATTATTCTTTTTTAAACAATGTGGCAAAAACAAATGAGACATGCATTGATTTAGTAAAAATCCCACTGCTCTCTCTCCTGTTATGGAAAATCAGGCTGTTGAACTGGCGCAGCAGTACAAATATCTCAGCAGTGTGATCGACAGCAAACTGTGCTTTGAGCCCCAGGTTGATGTCTTTGGTGTGTAAAAAGCACATCAGCATATGCATTTTAATCACAAGCTTTGCGGTTTTAATGCTGACACCACTTTTATAAAGATGTTTTATTGAATCAGTCCTCGTATTACTTTCAAATTGAAAATTTGTTTACAGGGTATTGTGAAGCTGTGCAGCAAAATTGACTTGACTGACATATCAGTCTTGACTGATATGAGCCATCCCTTGTGGGGTGAATTTATGCTGCTACCATCAGGGAGTAAATACAAACTGCTGCGATGCAGAATGAGCAGGTTCAGAAGATCATTTGTTCCTGCTGCTATCAGTCTTGACACTTGAAATGATAGTCCATGTCTGGTTTCTTGTTATTTGTCTATTTATACTGCTGATTGTGAATCAAATTCCCCCCCCCAGGGATAATAAAGGTACCTTGAAACTAAGACTAACACAACCAAAGTTTCACCAGAAAAGTCCTAATAAATAATTTTAGACCGTCTTTGAGGTGAACAGAGTTTTGAGACAAACAGCAGCAGCACAACTTCAACGCCAGAGATGTGAAAGGGAACTACAGACAACAGCAACTGCATATCAGCTCTAATTCATAATGGTTGTGTAATATGCACCATGCATCTTCCGAAGTTTCCTGCTTTAAAAATGAGGGATCTCCCTAATGGTGTTTCCAGAGGAAATGATGTGCCCACAGGGAGCTTTTTGTCAATTCATCTGCACTGTACACTGCTGAGTGGAATACAGAAGGGCCTCGGTGAGACAAAGATACAGTACATCTAACTTCAGCTGGAGTTGCACAGCCCCAACAGACATTGAACTCTCATATTATTTTATTTGTCCTGTATCAAATTACTACCATTTAGCAGTGATGACACTCGTCTTAATATTAATATAATCCATTTATTAAAAGGGCACCTATTGTCTAATATAAGCAGTGTGTTGCATAATTTACCGAGTTGTATAAAGAGGACATCAATCAAGCCAAATGAGGGGACTCACAGGACAGCTGCCTCTGACTTTGTCAGATGATTTCATCATATCACCGATTAACTTTCTTGATGACCATGGTGGCCTAATGCTCTGGTTTCCCCCAGACTGAATACACAACAGATCCAGATTTTGTTTGTCTAATGCAAAATGCAGCTATACTGTACTGTATGGGTTTCTTGAACAATGCTGCCTGCTGTTGCAAATACAGCCTTGAGGCAAATGTGGCAGCAAAGAAAGATGATTCAAGATCATTGTCTGTAATTGAATTGAAATGATGAATCAGCAAACACCAACAAAGAAAACAAGACAGACAGACACACAGATTTCTAAGGCACAAGGGTGAGAATTAAGTTTCTCTATTCTGAGCTCCAAGCCTCTTTGTCCTGATCTGAAGGTCATTGTTTGTTCACGTTGCCTAGTTTTTGTCCTTCCTGGGCCACCATCTCACATATTGTGGCCCTGGCCACTGCTCTGTTACTGCAGCACAGTTTAATCTTCCAAATGCAGAGATGAGCCAAGTCAGCCAGCCCCTGGAGAGGCACCAGGGCCCAGCTTATCATTTCCATCTCTGGCACATGTTAACACACTTAGTGAAGTGTCATGACGACAGTGATATTCCTGTCATGCCACCTGTTAAACTGTTAGTATAACAATAGTCAGAATATAGTAGATTCTCACTTTTATTAAGGCAAACAGTCATGGGACTGATTAATTAAAGCTTCGATGATTAAATACGGGGACATCAATGTATATTCATTTATTAGCGAAGATGCTTAATTTGACACTAGATGAAAATATTTCCTTTCATTTAACCCATTTTATGTTTAAATCCAAACCCAGCAGGCATCTCTGTTATCGCTGGAGACAAGAGGTACCAGCATACTGATCAAAGTGAAAATCCACAGTTGTCCTACAAGGTTGTTTTTTTTTTTTTTAGGACTGTTTGGCTGACTGTATAGACACTGCTGTTTCAGATTTCCAGAAGAAAGAACGCCCACCTCTGATGTTACTCAGAGGATAGCCTTGGGAAGAATAGTGAGACTCCAACATCTGCCAAAGCTATCCAAAAGGTAATAGGCATCTACGCCTGCATCTTGCTACTTTGTGCTGTCATGTAGTTGTTTTTAACGTTTTAATCTAAAATCACATTCTAATATTTTATTTAAATATGCATTTTAATGTCTCATCTGTGTGTGCATTGAATTGCCTTTGTATATGAAAATGTGCTATAGAAATAAACTTGCCTTACCTCTCCATCTGTGTGAACATCTGCAGGTGTATCAATCTCTTTACAACTAAAGGCATAGTAATCCAATCTTTATCTACTGTAACTGTGTGTCTGCCTCTAGTGTCAGCATACTGGGGACTGAAGATACAGTACATCCTCCTGAGACTAGGATCGAAGTGGCCCGACTGTTGTTAAGCTTTACCTGGCAATTAACTAGTCAGTTTCTCAGTTTCTGTTCCATCTCATTCTAAGCTTCCCAACCAGCAACATTCCCACTCTGGCACTCCTCCCTCCCACTGCAATCTCTGCAGTGCAGATCTCTCCTGCTGATAGCTGCAAATCCCAAACGTGCCAACAGAGCCCTGCCTGACTGCCTGCTCTCACACTTCTCAGCATGCCATAGAAAGGTTCTGTGAGAACCGTTACACCCCACTGTAGCTCCCCGAACAGACCACCATCCACGGTTCTTTCTGCTACTCTGATGTTCCCAGAACAAGAACCAAGATCCTGACCAGCAGCAATAACAATAGCATCAGGCTTGTGTTGGTCTGTCATGGTGGCCATACAACTGTCAGGAGTGCTTCAAAGGGACCTCGACTAAGTGGTAAGAGAGAGGTTTGTCTGTTTGGTGACACCTCTGTGAATGTTAGAGTGCACAGCAGTGCTCTGCCTCAGTGATTTAAGAGGGTGAACAGATCAGTTACCAACTCTCTTTTCCTCGTCTCTCCTCTATCTATTGTGATAAATGTAAACTGTCTGGTGAAAAGTATTAATTCTGGCAAGCTCATGATGAAATATGATAGTGTAAAGTCTGTTTGGCTGCACAGTTTATATAACACACAATACCTTAAACAGTCAGTTCACCTTAATGTAAATTGTTTTCATTTGCATTACTTTCATAGAGAAGGATGGTAGCTCTGTCATGGGAGACAGACAGCAGTCACTGTCTGTAATCTCTGTGCCTGACAGAAGCGGGGGTCTGTGATACTTGGCTGTGACAGCTTGGTCAGGCCATGCTGTCAGAGGCCTTTCTACACACCAGAGCAGGCTCATCTGACAAGCTTGTCCTGCTCAATAACACCACGGCAAGACAGGTGGAAAAACACACCCTGCTGCGTTGACCACCTGATAGGTGGGACCACACAGGCAGACGGAACAAAGACCCAGAAGGGCAGACAAGGGCGGGATAGCTGTTACTGATCCCGCTCTCCTTAATTCCTGATTTATCCTTCAGCCTCAAAAGGACAAATGGAGCAACTTCCTTACAGAATACAAAACTTGCCGTCTGTCACTGCCCTGATCTGCCCAGCTGGTTCAACAGACGCTCACGATATGGGTCAAT